TTCTTCTTCTTCTTCTTCTTCTTCTTCTTCTTCTTCTTCTTCTTCTTTCTTCTTTTTTCTTTCTTCTTTCTTCTTCTTTCTTCTTCTTCTTTCTTCTCCTCCTCCTCCTCCTCTTCCTCCTCCTCTTTCCTTCTCCTCATCTTCTCCTTCTCCTCTTACTCCTCCTCCTCTTTTTTCCCTCTTCCTCTTTCCTTCTCTTCTTCCTCCTCCTCTTCTTCTCCTCCTCCTCTTTTTTCCTTCTCCTCCTCCTCTTCTCCTTCTCCTTCTCCTCTTCCTCCTCCTCTTTCCTCCTCCTCCACCTCCTCTTCTTCTTCTCCTCTTCCTCCTCCTCTCCTCCTCCTCCCTCCCCCACTTTCTTCCCCAAATGGGGGAAAACTAATTTCTTGGTGTGAAATACATCTTAGATAAATGCACGTGGTTTTCCCCTCCACTGTAATAATAGTTCCTTATTATATAAGGCAGTGAATGTGTCTTTATGTGTGATGGGAAATCTTAATGAGTGCTCATTGGCTAAATACACCCATTTTTCTTTCCTCATTATGACTGATAGATGGATAATTTTTCTATCTATCTCGGGAGTTGCATTTGGGCTAATTGGGAAACACGGCATAAATAAGTGAACTTTCAGAGGGAGATAATCTTCGGTGCAGAAAGATTGCAAACATTCTTAAGGAACATTTGCCGAATGCCTTTTGTCTCAAAGGGTTGCGGAAATGGAAAAATGTGAAAGTGCTGTAATAGGTAGTGTTCGACTTATGACCACAGCGGAGCCCCAAATTTCCGTTGCTGAGTGAGACGTTTGTTAAGTGACATAATGGAAAATACTTGTCGCTCGGGTTTTAGGTTTTGGCAGTAGTTTGCCCTCCCAAGTTTACGTCAATTTAGTTTCTGAGCATTTTGTTAGCAGACTAGGTAATATCATGAGCAGGCTGTACTTGTCCTGTTCTCCTTAGCTTATAAATGTCTTGTTTGGTCAGTTGGTTGTATGATGGGTTGTTCATTACTTGTTCAGTGAATTTTTGCCCCATTGTACGACGTTCCTTGACACGTTGGTTTAGGGAATCCCTGCAGTTGTTAAATTAGTAACACAGTGGTTGGTTCAGCGAATCTGGCTTCCCCCGTTGACTTTCCATGTCGGGAGGTCGTAAAAGAGGATCCCGTAACCCCGGGAACACTGCCCCCATCATAACTATGAACCAGTTGCCAAGCATCTGCATCAGTGGTGGGATTCAAAAAAATTTACTACCGGTTCTGTGGACGTGGTGTGGCTTGGTGGGCATGGCAGGGGCGGCAGGGGTGGGGAGGGAATCCCCATTCCCTCCCCACCCCACTAACCTGCTTTCCAGCTCCGTTCTCTTGTGCAGGGCAACAAAAGAAGACCCAGCCGATCAACTGGGACTCAATGGGAGGCAGAGAATAGATGGGGGCGGGGCCAGTCAGAGGTGGGATTTGCCGGTTCTCTGAACTACTCAAAATTTCTGCTACCGGTGCTCCTGAATGGGTCAGAACCTGAGGAATACCACCTCTGATCTGCATGTATATCACATGACCGGGAGGGGGGGGTTCATAAGTGGGAGGAATGGTCATCGGTCACTTATTTGCAGTGACGTTACAACCTTTGAACCATCACTAAGTGAGCTGTTGTAAGTCAAGGACTGCCTGTAAAATCTCCCATGGATGTGCATGTACACACACCCTTCACCCACTGTTGTGGTTAGCCGGCAGCAGGTGCGGATGGCTGAGGAGAGCGAGGACTCAGCTGAGGGGCCAGAACCATTAGGGAGTGGACTTCTGCCTTCAGAGATTGTGGGGGCTGGCAGCAGTGATGAAGAGGTTCCCGAGGAGCCTGTGCCAAGTGTGCGTGCGCGCAGGATTCCTCATAGAATAGAGCAGTTACAACAGCATGGGTGACTTGGGAGTAAGGCTGCCAGGTAATGGCCCCTCCTTCAAGAAGATAAAAGCCAGCTGTGAACCGGATGTTCTTTGTAGGAAGCAAAGACGTTTTGAAAATCAGTCTCGTGGACATTACAGTTGATATTTGAAGACTCTTGTGTTGTGAAACATTTCTTATCTGTAATTCTTGGCAGGCTTGCACAGTTTTGGCGAGGCTAGTGCTTGTCAAAGTTAATTAGGTTGCAGCAGCCTTTTAACGGGGGATTTATAAGAATCATTAAAAGTTTTCTGTTCCCTTTCTGTTTCGTGTTTGTTTTATTGGAAAAGGATTTAGGATTTAGGTCAGAACACCCACTCGCCAGGTCTGAAGGACACAAAAGGAAAGTTGTGTGCGCTTTCATGCTGGTTTTTTTTTTTTGCAAATATGCCGCACGATAGCTGATGAATTCACAGGCCCAGGCAACAGTAGAATTCCGCCATTGCTTCCTGCACACTCCGCTCCATCACATCTGCCTTCCTATCCATGCCCCCTTCATGTGCCAAAAGGAGTTGGCACCTGTGGCTCCAACAGGCTTGGCCAGTGGTATCTCCCTGTCCTTTTCAGCTGCCAAACAGATACCCATCCTTGGCAATAGACTCGTGCCTGGATGTTCCTCATCTCAGCAAGGCTTAAACATAAGACTTTCCAGCAGCCAATAACACACACACACACACACACACACTGTTCACCAGAAGAGGGTTTTAAATGCTTTTTTTTGACGCAGGCAGCTCTTCAGAAGTCCGAGAACTTGAGAAAATGAGGAGCTTAAAGGCAGAACAAAAGGAAGAAGATCAAGGCAAGCAGGAAAAAAAAATAGCCTGTCTGGGTATTTTCTCCCGGAACACCCTTTTTTTTTTTTCTTTTTTAAGTAGGCAACACATTGACAAAGGACTGGGGAGAATATATTTAATACCAGTATTGTGCTGAAGAATATGCCTGTATCTTCTTTTGGGGGGGGTGGGGGTTTTCCCCCCTCCCTTCCCAGTTCTATTCAATTTGATGAAAGAGAATATGCTTCCAAACGAGAAATTCTTCAGGCTGCAGTGTCAAGTTCTTTACTGCAGAATGAGGCGTGGGACAAGGGTGTGGAAAAACAATATTTCTTCCCATTACACGATTCCCTCTCCAGCCCTTCGGTGAAGCTCTGTTAACAGAATAACAGAGCTGGAAAGGACCTTAGAGGTCTTCTAGTCCAACCCCTGGCTCAAGCAGAAGAGCCAATACCATTCTGGACAAACAGTTGTCCAGTTTTTGTTTTGTTTTTTAACTTCTGGAGGCAAGCTGTTCCACTGGTTAATTGTTCTCGCCCTTAGGAAATTTCTCCTTAGTTCCAGGTTGCTTCTCACCTGGTTTAGTTTCCATCCATTCTTTCTTACCTTGCCTTCTGGTGCTTTGGAAAATAGGTCCCTATAGCCTTCTGTGCTTTCGTTTCACCCCATAAAAGGCTACAGGAAGGGACTTTTTCAGGAGGAGCGGGCAGCCGGGAAAACGATGACCTCAGCAATAACTCACCTTCCAAAGGGTTTTAAAAAAAGCTAATGGGAGAAGTTTGGAAGAACGTTCCTGGCATCCGGAGAAGACAGGGAAGCAAAGATCTCATTAGCAGAAGGAGTAATTCTGGAAAAATTACAAGCTCGTTTTGGTGCCACGTGGTTTGAAGCTGTCTGCTACGTCCAAGAGATAGAGAGGCAGGGAGCATCTTGGCTTGTGTCTTCAAAACTAAGGCTGTGCAGTGTCAGTTGGGGCTGAGGTCTTCCCCAATTGTTACACAAGCCTGGTGCACCACAATAGGGGCAGCCTGGGTCAGGCTGGGCCCCCTATCATTAGGTATATAGGGACCCCCTCAGCAGTAGATGCCAGGAATAAACAAAAAGGTTGCAGGAAACGAATGGAGAACAGTCCTATGCTTTCTACCCTGGGCTTCCTTGTTCCCTATCAGGTGCCTTTCAACATATTCTCTTACTGCCAACTCTTGAAATTAGATGCAGCTTAGCTTCTGTAGATGGGACAGGAGGAGGGTCTGCTTGGCTAAGATGTCTTCAGCTGGCTTTAATAAAGCCATTGCAGCCATTCGGAAGCTAACTATAAATTGAAAAGCAAATCCCCACTTTCTACTAGCACTGATCAGGTTACCTGGTTTTGTAATGAAAGGTCTGCAAGAAAACCACCAAGCTTAGAGAGCACCAAGGGACACAACACCCCACAACACCACAACATCCTTCTCCCAGGAGATTCAACTTGGACCACTTTTTAAGTTGTGTGGACTTCGGCTCCTAGAATTCCCCAGCCCAAAACACTGCTCTAGATCAGGGGTTTCCAACCTTGGCAACTTTAAGCCTGGAGGACTTCAACTCCCAGAATTCCCCAGCCAGCATACATATATATATATATATATAGTGCATATGTGATTCTTTGCTTCTGGATTCTGAGTTCTGCTGTATACATGCATCATGCTTTATATTGTTGTATATAAAGAAGTTTCTTTTATAAATGAATCCTGCTGAATCCTTTACTTGTGTGCTGGTTGGATTGGTGCAAACTCTTAACACTTCTCATATAAAATTCAGATTATGTAGCGAGAGAAGGAGAAAACTTTAAAAATTCCAAACAAATATTTCCTTCAGGTAAATAATGCTGGATGGCTGATATATAACTACAGATAGACGCGTGATCGCAATCTCGGAATCAAATTGATTTCTCTGCTCTCTTTCTCTCCTGCAGATCCATGAAGATCTGAAGATCTCAAACATCTCAAAATACTTCTCTGCTGCTGAAGGAGAGCAATTTCACTGGGACGGAACAAGAAAAAAAAAAAACACAAGGAGAAGTAAAGACCTCCAGTGATAGAAAGAGAAAAATAAAATCCATCGTCGGTCTACCCAGGGTTTAGCAAAACCAGCCAAGTGAAAACAGTTGCTAAGGTAAATGAATCTCTTTTGAGCTTTTCACAATGCAAAGTTGGCTCAGAGTTTGGTAACTGTGCGTCTTTCCCAGAATCTCACCTGAGAAGAGATAGAGCATGAAAGGAGCTCTTCTATCACAGGTGGAGTTTGCAAAATGCAAGCCATTGGGCTTGTGTGGCACCAGATGGAGACCCAAGGTGAGGCCTGGAGCCTCTAAGGGAGGAATGAAAACAGAAAGAGAACTCCTAGCCGTGATTATTAATGTTAAGAACCCTGGAACAAATGCAGCCAATAGAAGATGATATTTGCAGCTCTGGGTTGAACTTGGGGTGGGGGGGTGTCCTTGGTGCCCCCTGAGCTTGTTTAAGTGTTTTTTCTCCAGCGAGACCAGTCTATCAAGGCAACCTGGTCTACCCAAATATGGGATGGAGCATACTGCTTCCACTTTTGCAGGCAGTCATTTACGTGACAAACTATTTTGTGTTAAATTAAAATTTACCCACAAAGAAATAAAGGGGGACTGGTACAGCTATTTCAAGCTCTC